AAAGAAAGAGCAAGTGTAGTATCAGTACACAACCACAGTGTACTGGTAGGATCATGCGGCTACTCCCATAAGCACAATATACAACGATCAATCACAACACATATACATTAATACATTTCAGTTATCCTTTCATAGCAACATATAATCTTCATTATCAATACCAAGTAACATAAGCACAACAATCACAATAGTTCTCTCATGGAAATCATGCCCAAACTGTTAGTGTGTCGGAACGTGACACCCGATTCAATATACATGTGTCAGAACGTGACACCCGATCCAATATATGTGTCGAAATGTGACACTCGATCCAATATATGTGTCGAAACGTGACACCCGATCCAGTCAGCACAACCACAATCACAATCACCCTCATAATCAACAATGCTCATAATCGTACAATCAAGCAATGGTTTCATGACATGTAATTATTCATATACATATACTCATTTGCATTAGTTTTGATTTATATTTCCCTATTCACATACATACATGCATACAACAAAGCAATTAACCGGCATATATCACACAAATAGGAAATCAAACCATCACCTACCTCGAAACCAAGCTTGAATCCTCCTAAAACACTTGAGCCTTTCATTTTTTGATTCTTTCCGCTTGTTCTAGGTCTACAAACAATTAATATAACACAAAGATAAATAATTAAGGTCTAATTTACCCGGATTATACCAAACTCAATAATCCAAGACCAAACCCATGATCCTAAAATGCAGTTAGGGCTTTTTCCACCATTAATTTTAGGCCATAACCCTCCCCCAACAATAATTACCCATGAATCTAAGTTCCATGGATCGAAAAACGGATTAGGGGAGTAAAATCATTACCTTTAGCACCAAAAGTCGTGGAAAAATGTCAAGAACTCGTCTTGGATCGTCTCTTAACTCTTAAGAACGAAGTTTGCAGAAAAATAACGAAATTGGGGTTTTTTTCCAACTTAAGTCGCGACTGGCCCGCCGTAGTGGGACCCAACCCGTCACAACGGCTCCGCCCCGACAGCTTGCACGGAGATAGAGAGTCGAAATTTGAGTTCCAAATCCATTTCACAACACACCTTCAACCCTGACGTTCGAAAACTACCCTTTCACGCTAAGATCTGTTTTGGGAGTTCTACTCACCCGAATTCGATTCCGTAAAGTTGTACGGGTTCCTTAACGTCTTAGCTATCTACTCATGTGATCAAATTCATAATTAGATCCCCATTCATTACCAAATTTCCCTAGACCTCACCTTACTCAAATTTCATCTAAATCTGGACTAGGCTACAATTTTTCAAGTCACTACTCAAAAGTTTTTTAACCCAATTTCTTTCCCCTTTGACTTTTCCATAACGACGGGAACATGTCATTACAGTTTTAGAAAAGGCTTATCCATGCCATTATTTATTAATGGAAAATAATTTCGATTTTGCTAAACCATTTTTTACACATAGTCAATTATGATTCAGCCACATCATTAATTAGATTATTATTTTTTAAAAGAAAAAATGCTTAAATATGTCATCGAACTTTGAGAAAAGACTCATTTATGTCATTCATTAAAAGTTTGGCTCATCTATGTCATTTTAGTTAACAAATAATGGTATGGATGAACCTATTCTCAAACATAAATGACATAAATGAGCCAAACTTTTAACAAATGACATAAATAAACCTTTTTTCAAAATTCGATGACATATTTGAGCCTTCCTTTTTTTTTATCAATTATGACATGCAATTGTAAATCCTCTTTACTCTTAAAATAATTGTTGTTTTTATTGATTACTACTATCTTATGAAGGTAGTGACCAAAAAGATCTTTATATTTTATAATAGCGATGAACACAATTATGTTACCAAGATATCAAACTTTGTCATATCAGAAAAAAATTGTAGTATCAAGTATGTATTTTTTTATGATATTGCGCATGAATAATTAATTAATCATAAGTCAAAAAATCGAGGACCTATAAAAGGGATATTCCTCAAGATTCATACCGAAGAGGAATTGTGAATTTTTAATTTTATTATTAATTGTTATTTGAAATCTACTAACCTAACTAATTTAGATTCGATTATGATAAGTAATGCGATTCAAATGCAAGTAAGTTAGCTAAATAACAACTTTACAAGGGCAAGTGTTGTGAAAATAATAAACATTCTCATCTAAACTACAATCTCAATATTTGTAATTATTTTGTTAAAGGATTTACTTATCTCTCTCAAACACATTAATATATATTATGCATCATAACAAAAATATAAGGTCTCTTTAAATCAAATTAATTGTTGTTTCATAGTACGCTAACCATTAATATTATAAATCGAAATATATCAAACAAATATAGTTCATAATTTCTGTCATATTCGCTTCCACAATAAAAAAAAATGAGAAATTGCTAGGTGGACATCTTCGAAATCCACGATAATTTTTTTAAAAAATGAGAAATTGCAAGGTGGACATCTTCGAAATCCACAATAATTTTTTAAAAAAATGAGAAATTGCTAGGTGTCAAATGTTGCTACATTTCTTTGGAAATCTTGGCGTGATCTCTTGTGTAAAGGATGATGAAAATTGATGGATCTTTACATCGTAGCAACGAACTCTTGATTTATACCATTTATAAGTGTTATGTATTTCCACCGTAAAAACTCCATACCCATTTGTTGTATTCATCTCCTTAGCTACATCATTGCCCTTTATCTCGATAGGCGAATTATCAAAATGTATCTGTACTGGAGTACGCTCTCCTTTCTGTTGATGATAAAGACCTAATGTGTTCGCCCATAGAATATTTCCTTTATAGGAAATCGAAACGAGTATACTTTTGTATTCAACTTCACGACGATCGAGATTTTCGACAACGAAGTTGATAGTCAAGTTATGAGCTGAAAGGGATGTATAATGAGTCAATGATGATGAGGAAAAATCAATTTTAGAAGCTGTGATTGCTTCAATTGAAATTTGGGGATGATTTGGAACTAAACAACAAATTAATAAATTAACAAAACATGTGAAGAGAAATATTAAAACAAAGGGTAGAACTTGACTACATGGTTTGTTAGAATTCTCAACTTTGGATGGCTTCTTGATTTGTTCTTCATTAAAGGCCACAATATGGCTATTATTGTCACAAGGTTCTATTAATGATATCTTCATATTGTTGAAATTTAATTTGGTGAGGGATCTAAATAATCAAAATAATGTCTTAAATAGAGGAAAAAAATTGCCTTGGTAAGGAAAAGATCAAAGTAATCCCTTAAATAAAGGGTTAAGTCTCCTTTGATTTCTAGGTTATTTTTATATATATCTATTTTCGTTCAGTATTCAGTATGCGCTAATTTAGAGCTTGATTAATTTGAATTCATATATGAATGTACGACTTTGAAGTAAAATAAGGCAATATGTATGGATCCCGATTTTGATGCCATCATTTGACTTGTGCATGTCTTTTTTTGTTTTACAAATATACTGCTTTGGACAACTTCAAACATATTTTGTCTAAATTTATATATGTCTGAAGTTCAATCATTTTTGTATGAATTTCGATCAAATATATTTAAAATTATGTCATTTATCATAATCTAGAATTATATTTTAAATTACATCATTTGTAATATATACTTGCTTTATAAATGAGTAACAAATAAGTACTTTCGATATGTCATTTCCCCTATAAATGAGGTAGCTAGTTATATTTCTCATTCCTTAATTTAAGTAGATTAAGTATGAACAATATTTTATGAATTCCTAAAGATTCTTCATTCCTATATTTTAATAAGGAAACATAAATATCGGGTCTTACGAAAATTTCATTATCAATATTATTAATACTTTTTATTTGGCGGTATTAGTAATGTATAGAATTTAATATTCTGTGTAAAGATAAAAAAATTCCTCACATCATTTTAAACATTTATTTATTTTCTTGATTTTATGTTTTATATTTGTTCTAGTAAATTTATTTAAATAAATTAACTTACAAATTTTATTATTTAAAGAGAGTTGTTTGTTGCTAAATAAATTCAATACAAATCAATACAATATTTGAAATGTGAGTCGTTTAACATTTACTAATTGAAAAGGCAAATATATCATCACATGACGTTTGTGATCTTAATTGAGTGTATTATTTGTTAATATATTTGTGGGTTTCTAATTATTTGTACTTTGAACAATTTATAAAATTGCATACATATTGAAACTAGAACTTGCAATTTTCATGTATAGATATAGATGGTTTATTCGATCTTATTATTGTTTACCATCTTTTCGGTTTAAAGTAGATGGTCTATCTATTCTAAATTGAAAATTAACGTTTTTAAGTGATTAATTTATTAAGATGACAATTATTTACCTCAAATAATTCAAGTGAGAAAATAACAAACATGACAACAAAATTATTCTTCTCCTAGCTAGTTAGAAGGCCATAGAAAAATAATATTGTCCGACAATTATCTACCTTGTCCCGATTACATAAAATAGAAAATCTCATAATAATTCAAGGGTATAATTGGAAAGAAGTTTCTTGTAGAGTTTTAATCCAAACACAAGATGAAGTAGGAATAAATGAACCAAACACTTGATAAAAAATAAACCATGCACGGCTAATTTCTGCACTATTAATCCTTGCGTTATTATTCTTTCTACCAAACGATCCCTTAATATCTAATTTAGATTTAATTACATCGAATGAAAAAATAAAAATAGATGCGTACTTCATTGGAAATACTCAACTAAAAAAACTTTACAAATCCGTTAAGGAGTTGTTTGACATTAGAGATGAGATATACAAAATTATTTCATCATATATACAAGATGGCTTATTCCAATAATACAAGTGATGGAATAAATAATGCCGAAACTAACTAATATCCTTACTCCTTAGTCAAACGTAAGATAAAATAATCCTAAAATTTTATCTCCGACTTATTATCCCTCGTAGCAAACCACCCATTTAAGTTGAAGTCAAACAACATGTATTTATTTCAAAATTATTCCCCCAAAATCTTGAATTTAGCACTTTTACCCCCTTATTTTCTTATAAAAATTTCAGCTTTCCCGCCCACTGAATTTTCCTCCCAAATTTCTTCTCTCTCTCACTCACACACAGAGTAGATGCAGCCAAATCCTCTTTGTATCAATATCTAGCAGTTTAGGGGGTACCCATTGACCCAAAAATGCCTGATTTTGGCATTCTTTTGGATCCTCCATTGCCATCAGCACCAGAAGAATCATTGCCTTCATCTTTAGCTTTGATTTCTTGCCCAAATCTAGAAGTTTGCTGTGAATCTGATACCCAAATGCAGGAACTAGTTTCTGACCGAAATTCCCAGCTGGGGTTCCCTATTTTGCTCAAAGAAGACGAGTTGAAGCTGGAAAACAATGGGTGTGTTGAGTTGGTACAGAAAGAGGACGAGTTGAAATTATTGACACCCAAATCCAGTGAATCTGATACCCAAATGCAGGAACTAGTTTCCGACCGAAATTCCCAGCCTGGGTTCCCTATTTTGATGAAAGAAGACGAGTTGAAACTATTGACACCCAAATCCAGTGATTCTGATACCCAAATGCAGGAACTAGTCTCTGACCGAAATTCCCAGCTGGGGTTCCCTATTTTGCTGAAAGAAGACGAGTTGAAGCCGGAAAGCAATGGGTGTGTTGAGTTGGAACAGAAAGAGGACGAGTTGAAACTATTGACACCCAAATCCAGTGAATCTGATACCCAAATGCAGGAAATAGTTTCTGACCGAAATTCCCAGCTGGGATTCCCTATTTTGCTGAAAGAAGACGAGTTGAAACTGGAAAACAATGGGTGTGTTGAGTTGGAACAGAAAGGGGACGAGTTGAAACTATTGATACCCAAATCCAGTGAATCTGATACCCAAATGCCGGAACTAGTTTCTGACCGAAATTCCCAGCTGAGGTTCCCTATTTTGCTGAAAGAAGACGTGTTGAAACCGGAAAACAATGAGTGTGTTGAGTTGGAACAGAAAGGGGAGGAGTTGAAACTATTGATATCCAAAACCAGTGATTCTGATACCCAAATCCAGGTACTAGTTTCTGACCGAAATTCCCAGCTGGCGTTCCCTATTTTGCTGAAAGAAGACGAGTTGAAACCGGAAAACAATGGGTGTGTTGAGTTGGAACAGAAAGATGAGTTGAAACTGGAAAATAATGGTTGTGGTGAGTTGGGAATCAGGGTATTAATACCCAAGTCGAGTCAATCTGATACCCAAATTGAGCAACTAGTTTCTGACCCAAATTCCCAGCTGGGGTCTCCTATTTTGCAGAAAGAAGACGAGTTGAAACTGGAAAATAATGGTTATGGTGAGTTGGGAATAAGGGATTTGATACCCAAATCCAGTCAATCTGATATCCAAATGCAGGAACTAGTTTCTGACCAAAATTCCCACTTGGTGTTCCCTTCTTTGCAGAAAGAAGAGTTGGAACCGGATAACAACGGTTGTGTTGAGTCGGAACAGAAAGAAGACGAGTTGAAACTGGAAAATAATGGTTGTGGTGTATTGGGAGTAAGTGTTTTGATAACCAAATCCAGTGAATCTGATACCCAAATGCAGGAACTAGTTTCTGACAGAAATTCCCAGCTGGGGTTCCCTAATTTGCAAATAGAAGACGAGTTGAAACCGGATAACAATGGGTGTGTTGAATTGGAACAGAAAGAAGACCAGTTGAAACTGGAAAATAATGGTTGTGGTGTATTGGGAGTAAGTGTTTTGATAACCAAATCCAGTGAATCTGATACCCAAATGCAGGAACTAGTTTCTGACAGAAATTCCCAGCTGGGGTTCCCTAATTTGCAAATAGAAGACGAGTTGAAACCGGATAACAATGGGTGTGTTGAATTGGAACAGAAAGAAGACCAGTTGAAACTGGAAAATAATGGTTGTGGTGATTTGGGAATCAGGGGTTTGAGGTCAAGTGGTGGTGGGTCAGTGGCGAAAAAGAGTTTGGATGAGTTTGTTAAAGATTGGGTTGAGAGGAAGGTCAATGCTGGTGTAGATAAACGCAATTGTGTATTGCCATTCCTTATTCATGCTCCCAAATCGGTAAACTTATTCTTCTATTTCCTTTTTAATGATTATTGTTGATGAGTTTGAATAATGCCCAAAGACAGTTGAGTTAGGGGTAAGGGCTGCGTACACTCTACCCTCTCCAACCCAACTTGTTAGTCTTACATATTGCTTTAGGCGCTATCATGATCCTATTTTGGGTCGTGCCAACATGGTATATCATAAACAATCTCTCTACCTCCCAAGGTAGGGGTAAGGTGTATGTACGCTCTACTCTTCCCAAACCTCACTTGGGGATCACACTTGGTATGTTGTTGCTGAATTTGAAGTATGTCAGTAGAAAATGTAGCTATTTGGTCTCTGCTATTACCATTTGGGATTTGCCATGAGATACAAATTATTCATGTTATCTTGTATCTGCCCTTGTAAGGAAATGTAGAAAAAAATTTGGTTGGTGTCCACAATGAAAACTGACATTTCTGTTTGCGTGCATCAGAGATAGTGTTTAGCTAGAGAAATCGGTTCATGCACCTATAGTTGTCTCAACCAAGTTCGAGTACGTTTCTTGAATTTTAGATGTACACTCTCTCTAACCAGCTGAAACCGTGTAGCTTTGGTTATTTGCTCTTTCCTGAGATATAGGTGGAGAGAGTTTCGAAGCCAAATCAACTATGTCTGCTAACAAATAGCAGATTGACATAGGTGGAGAGAGCTTGGAAGCCAATCAATTATGTCTATTAACAGATATCAGATTATGTAAGCCCTATATTGACCTCGAATTTTACTAGATTTTGTGTAAGTTTAGCTTGAGCTCACCTTTGAATTTTATCTTATATCTTAGTTAAGCTTGAAACCAATAGTGTTTTCAAATAGGGAGAGTGTTTCATTAGCAAGTCCCAAAGTTCCTTGAAGTTTAGGTTTGAAATAGGTTGAGCATTTCGCGTTGCTTAGAGAGGGGTTCAATTTAGGACCAAGGTGCTAAGATGTGCATGTCATTCCTCGTAGGCTCTATCCTGAAGGGTTGCAATGGTAATATTTAATGATTTCTCTTAATCATAGTTTGTCCTTGTAATTGTTATTTGTGTTTTTAGTTATTAAGTGTTCCACATTGTTGATGAAATGGGTTTTATCCTTGTATAATTTTGAGTAATCTTCACTAGTTCACTTCATGAGCTAGCTATTGGGTTTAAGTTAGGCTCAATGTCCATTCTCTTTGACATGGTATCAAAGACAACTCCATGCTTATTCATAGTTACTTGATGTTGGCCTCCGTGTTATGTTTGTCCATTCTCATGAGTGTGCTGGGGAGGAGGGTGCTAAGCCTTTTTAGATTAAGTAATATTTCATTTAGAAAAGGGCAAAAGCATGCCCATATACAAGATGTACACCAAAAGTAGAAAACCTTACAAGAGGACATGTTTTTTACAAATAATACCCACTCATCTACACATGTAGGTATCCTATGGGTGCACCAAAAAGGAGGAGGAGGGTGTTAAGTTCATACATTGATCCAGAAAATGAACTGTTTGCTAAATAATTAATTTTGTGGTCTTTAATGCATGATATTGTTGCATTTAGTATCATAACACACCATTGAATGAGTGGGGCTGAGGAGTAAGAAAATCACAGAAGAAAAGCCCTGGACTCTTTTTTAAATATTTTAGGAGACAAACACTTGTTAGATGTTTTATTTGATCAATTGATAATAAACTTTTCCAATGTTTTGAAATTTTGTGTCAGGTTGAGTGCTCTGTTTGCCAAGGATTAATTTTTCCAGGTGACGAGGTAGAATGCTCTGTTCGAGATTGTATGGGAGTTTTCCACTTAGAATGTGCTAAAGAAAAACTTGGGTTATCTTCTCCCAAAATGTTTAAGTGCCCTCAACATGTAAGTTGGATTTAGTATACATCTCGATTCTTGGCTGAACGATCACAAAACAGATTTCCTACTTAATATGTTTGATTTGAGTTTGATCAGCACAGTTTATTCTTACTCACTTTGATTTTTACAGTCTTAGCTGTGCATATTTTGTTTCTTAAAGCTTGTCGATTTCCTGCCCGCTTTTAACAACATGCTAGAATCTTACCTTCACCAAGGTGGTATACCACTTATATCTGCTGCTTCAATTTTGGCAGTAGAACCGAAGCTCTAATCCTAAATTGGGGGGGGGGGTAACTTTTCCTTCATGGAACTTTTAGTTTTGAGGTAAACTATGATCTATCTGTTTTAGGAAAATATAGATATCATTTTTCTTCCTTCTGTTTGTGCATTTTCCCATCTACAAGGCTCCAGTTCTGTTTAGGAAAATGTTGCATAAAATCGATTATTTAAATACCATGCCCTTGTCCTGGGATGATCATTATAACTGGTGTGCATATGATGGTTCTTTCCTGAATAGGTATGTTATGTTTGTAATAAAAAGATACATCTCTGGCGGTGCATCAGATGTCCACTAGCATCACATGATAAGTGTGCAGCATTTCCGGAGCACGTGGTTCATTTAAATGATCAGCCAGGGCGAGTTATTTGTTGGAAGCATCCATCCGATTGGCATTTGGAGAAGGTCAATCTCTTCATTTGTTCATCAACACAGTTCTATTTCTATTAGATAAGTTCTCCAAGAGACATCTTTTGTATAATAGTAATGAAATGATCATAACTCGTAATGCAGAACAAACATTTGAAGGAATCACTCTCTTAGATATTTTGCTGTATATGTTAATTTTTTATTTTTGAGCCTGCAAATTTGACAGAGTTTGCTATGATTTTGCATTATTTGCACATTGAGCAATAATCAAATCATGATGTTATTCATGATTTGATTTCTCTGTGATGCTATTAGTATTTGAACGAAGTGATGAAATAACAGCAAAGTAATTCAATATACAGTAGTTTCTATCACTGGATCTTTATTTTTGATTGATTAGGCTGGCTGACATGACAGGACTGACGTATCTTGTTTCATAAGCAGCATGAAGCCCCAGCAAGTAATTTGGAGGTTAGATATTTATTAAACCATGATTGTTGCATGTGATTCTTGATGAAAGCCTTTCATTCATTGTTTTTTTTATTACTAAAACCCTTTATAGTAGGACGGCGTCAAGTGTATGCAATCATTTATAATATGGCTCAACAATAGTTGTTTTTACCAACTTGATCCTCTGTACACTAATATTATAAATTCAATAAAAAAATGTTTTATACTTATATCTGTTGCTATTCTATAACAATTTTCTATCTGTATACTACCAAATAAGTCAAAAGAAAAGATACACCACACAACGTTGGTCTCTGAGTTAACTTTTCTTCTCGATATCAATCTTCTATAGCCTCCAACTCGGCACTACTTCATCCATTATCTATTGTAATGTTTGATAAAATACTGAGAAACAAAGTACAAGAGTTCATATATAACAATCAAAAAAGAAGTACAAGGGTCCTTATATTTGATCCGACTAGTCTTTTTTTCATACCCTTTAAACAAACAACACCATCTTACCAGTGTTATCATAGACGAAAAAAGCAAAAAAGCTGTAAGGTCCATTTAGGCTGTAAGTGCAAAAAAACATGGGATTTAATAAAGAAAGATGCATATGGAGTAAAAAAATACAAAAATAAGTATGTGTAGTCCAAGACTAATAATTATACGCATGAATAACATATATATATTGATAAAGAAATTGAAACAAGATTACGATATATTAAAATATCAGTTTAGAGTCTCCTCTTCATGACTGTGCTTATTGACAAGGAAAAATAAGCCTTGATGACGACATTGAAGCACCCACTAAGTGAGGCGAAGCACTCAACATGTTTTATACCTCGCTTCAAGGCTCAAGCATGCTTAAAGCACACCTTTGACAAAACTGCATCTTACAACAATCTTCCCTATCTTCATTAAGTTATTCTATGTTAAGATTGCATAATACACTTAGATGGCTTTCCTCAAGCTTATATCTCACATGACGTAGTCATTCCTTCTTAAGTAATCGGCTACAAAATCCTCTTTATCCTTCGTCAAACTAAACAACTAATAGTATGCATCCTTCAAGGTTGTCCCTACCACAGTTTTCTATATTAGTCCACTGAGGACCTCCATCAAATAACAGAAAAGGTGCATATATCTTATCCATGAAGTCAACAGAAGCAAATTCTTGATGTAGTTCTTATAACAAATGAGTTGTTGGATGCAAGGTCTAGTGGAAGTATGCGTTTTCACAGAATCAAGAATTCTTGACTTTTCACAGAATCAAGAATTCTTGACTTTTCACAGAATCAAGAATTCTTGACTTTTCACAGAATCAAGAATTCTTGACTTTTCACAGAATCAAGAATTCTTGACTTTTCACAGAATCAAGAATTCTTGACTTTTCACAGAATCAAGAATTCTTGACTTTTCACAGAATCAAGAATTTTAGCACCATGTCCAAACCTAAATCTTCAAACACGCGTGCGCACACACACATTCATACTTGGGAGTCCATGTTCTATGATCACAAACTCTTTTAATATTGAGTTTGCGAAAAAATGCATGCTTCCACTTGACCTTGTATCCAATAACTCATTTGTTATGAGAACTACATCAAGAATTTGCTTCTGTTCATATATATAAATAATGGTTGTGAAGTTAACTGCATCCATCACCAATTTTAATCCTTATGAGCACGTGCATTATTAAATTACCTGCCAGACCAGTCGGTCTAAATCCTGTGTCCGTTAGCACCACTCTTCTTTGGCATAAGCACTACAAAAGAAGTGTTATAACTCTCTTTTGAAGGAGCCCACGTGGTAGAAATAATATATGTTGCTCAGACTCGGGTGTGAGTGTCCGATACGAGTGCGGATCTAGAGGTCGGATCCTTTTTGATATAAATTTTAAAATTTGGTAACACGGATGCATGTATTGATATGGTGCAGAAATTTGGCTAAAAATAATTCATATATCTACAAATAGAGTCATAAAACCTAAATTATGAGATTATGCGGAAAACTTGAAGAGAATATTGGTCAAAAGGAGAATCCTAGAAGGAGACAAAGGAAAATGAGAGACAAAGAAATTTCTGCATACAAGGTATTCCATTTTCTTCAATTTCACCTTAGCTTTTGTTTTGATCACAAAAATCATTGAATCTGCCCGGAATTTTTCCATCGATTTTAGTCAAAGTACCCAAAACCAGTTGGTTGACTGGATCGGACAGTTCCCACATCCACACCCCACCCACACCCATGTCACGCTGACACGGGTGGGGCACCAAAAGTGAAGAGTCCGAGCAACTTAGGAAACAATTTAGGTAATCCATCATATGAACACTCACACTCTCTTAGTAGTGAATAGTGATCAAAGAATGTCAAAAAGTGAATCTGTTTGGTCTCTGTGCCTTGTCACCTTCACAATGCACTGTTTTACAGCATCTCCAATTAACACCAATCCACCCTTCTTTTTGTTATTATACAGTTGGTAATAGGATCATACTATAGTACTTTCTCTTCCCCCATTAAGTTACATTACCATCTATCTTGACTTTCTCGATATATCTATATCATTCAATGTTTGATGCAAATAGTATGAACTTGTATGGGCATTTGGTTCTTTTAGATACTCAGAATCTTGGGTTCTCTAATTATTGACGGATAGAGTGTTACTTATTCCTCATAAACGTTGAAGATCTCACGGTTTTAAAAACTTTGGGGTTAATTATTTCGAGAAGATTCTGAGTAGCGTTTCCTTTTCTTTAGTTTGGAATCAATATCTGATTCACTTATATTATTACAGGAGATATTAGCTAATTTGCCTGTACCATATGTGGAGGAGGAGTTCAAGATTGACATAAATTGGAAAGACATGATTGACAACAGATCTGAACCACCTCCATACGTGCATATCAAGAGAAGTATCCTTTGGATATTCATTGCCAAGTCTTCTTAAATTTAGAATTTTTATTGTAGTTGTAAGCATATCAATAAATGAACAACTGATATCAATCTAATTTTTACCAGGTTGCCTAAATTTATCTTCGTAAGTTAATACTGTTGAGTCCTCAATGTGTATAGTTTCTTCTCTTTTCTTTTCTCTTGTTTAATCCTTTTCATGAGAACTGAACCTATCATTTATTCTTTGTGATTACATACTTAGCTCTTGCTAAACGGTTTCTATATGCTGCTGTTGTCAGAAAGACACCTATAAGGGAGATGTTGACTTATACTAAGTTCTAGTGATCTAAAAGATAAGAATAAGGCAACACGTACTTTTTAACAAGCTAGGCATAAGCTTCATGGCTTTTCTAGTTTATAAGTTTGATAAACTTCTAACTCAATGATACGAGAATAGTTAATAGTAGCTAAGAAATCATAATAAGGAGAACAATCTGTTGTAGACTAAATATCTTTTTCTATTATACATAAATAGACGGGTTTATTGTAGAGAAGTGAGGGATAGCCTAGTGGAAACGATACTGTAGGTTGGTGGTTCAAGTCATTAAGGGAGATGAGAGTATGAACCACTGTCGACTCCTGAATAAGGGGTTCTGTGGGTGAGTTTCGTATAGAAAAAGGTGTTACAGTATAATAAACTGATAAGCTTCTCAATCTTTAGAAGAACTGAACCAATTTTTTTTTGAGAAAGGTAACTTTTTAGTCTATATATCCACAGGTGTACTACATCCAAGTGTAGTCCCCTTTCCAAAAGTATTACAACCTAGGAAACCTATTTGTACTTTTTGTTACAAATAGTCTAAAACATCAAAAATTTCTTCAGTCTGTCCTAACACTTTTTGTTCACACCAAAAATAGTATAAAGCCAGGCAGTTCATCTTAAAATTCTGCATATTGTTTTGCTTTCCCTCGAAGCATCTTTGATTTCTTTCCTTCCACACTGTCCACCATATACAAGCTGGGACAATCTTCCATCTCTCCTCCTTTGTTGTAGCATTGCCAACTCTCATCCAGAACTTCAATACTCCTTCAATGTTCCTTGGTTTCACCCAAGTGATTTTCCTCAGACAAATGAATATTCTCCATAGCTGGTCTGCCCATTTGCAGTGTAAAAAAAGATGGTTGACTGTCTCTGTTTGTTCTTCACATAAGTAGCACCTGGAACACAATTGGTATTTCATCTTCTTCATGTTTTCCTGTGTCAGTACTACTTCTCTGGTCAGCAGCCATGTGAAGCAATTGACCTTATATGGAATTTTTGTCCCCCATATCATCTTCCAAGGCCATTGTTTGATCCTGTTGTTTGAAGTGGTGAGTTTCTTGTATGCTGAGTTCACTGAGAAAACTCCTTTGTTACCTATCTTCCATTCCCCAGTTAGGTTGTTGAAAGAGGCCAAGGTGTTATAGAGAGCACCTATCCTTTCCACCTCCCAGTCATTAAGATTTCTTCTGAGATGGAGATTCCATCCCTGACCTGTCCACATTTCAGCAACAGTTGCTTGTTGTTGAAAGCTTAGTAGGTGTAGATCAGGGAATAGTTGCTTCAAAGTTCTCTGAGCTATCCGCTTGTCCTCCCAAAAAGCCACTTTGAGTCCATTCGCCACTTTGAAATTTATTTTAGGCAAGAGTTGTGGCCATAAATTCCTAACTGATCTCCAGATACTACAGCTATAAGGAATGGTCATTGCTTTTGTAATCCATTTATCCTCCATTTCATACTTTGCACAAATGACCTCCTTCCACAGCATGTTCTCTCCTGTAATAAATTTCCATAACCACTTCATCATTAAGCTTTTGTTTTGCATTTTCATATTCTTGATCCCGGCTCCCATTTGAAGCCTGACAGATGTAAGTGAAAAGCCTGACAGAACTGAACCAATTTCGTCATAAGCTTGTGCAACTTTGAGTCTCAGTTTGTGCTTATTCTAAGTCTATGCCACTTGAAAACACTCACATGATCTTCATAATATGAATTTAGTTCCTATGTAACCTTCATAAAAAAAGAAGTTCAATGTAAGATTTATTTTGTGTATGAAATGAAGAAGCAAAAGGCCCAATCAATTACTTGAAAAAATAGGCTCCAATTTCCAAATCTGGTTTGGGCCATAGTCCTATGGACATAAGTATCTCCTGAATTCCCTGCATTGTTCATTTTCCCCTGTTGAAGCAAGCAGGAAACTTGCCCTTCAAACCATTGCTACATACACTTGGTCTTGGTAGCAATAAGATATCTTGTTTTTGGTGTTTGAAAGTTCAAAATGTGTAGAAAAACAAAAAACTCAACTGCATCACAGAAGCACACAAATCACAATTCGCTATGTTAGTTTGTCAACAGGAAAAGTAGTACTATGCAGAAAACCCTTAACTGAATTAGATGCTTACCTCATTAAGAAAAAGCGTGATGGCGTTATTGCTGATATTGGGTGCACAAACTGCAAATCCACAGAATGCTTGGACAATTGTGTTTGCAGGTAATGCCAATGGTTGCGTAGTTTTCTGTTCTGTTCTTGCCAGTCTGGAATCTGCTCTTGCTAATTGTCAAAAATATGCACTGATTTGGTGTTATTATTCCTGATGTGAATCTTAGGGAAGTCTGTGGAGATTTATATTCTAATGCAACTTTGAGAAAGTTAAGCCTATGTTATGATATTATTTGTGTATTAGTGTCTCAGTTTTAGGATAAGGTCCGGTATAGCCAAGGTTTCTGGAGTACTCTCTTTTTCTAGTGACATTTGGTTGATGATTTGGATTTTTTTCAGTTTCCACATCTTCAACATTCCTTTCACTGTTCCAGGAGTATCCCATTGTACACCAAAAATATACAAATATATAAATTCCATACTTGCCAGCTAAAAGTGCAGTACAGAAGTAGGTGTACAGTTGTCTCTCAACTAGAATTACTTAAGTAACTATTGTTTTTTTGATGAAATAAGGTGAACTTAAGTAACTATTGTTTGCCAATTGAAACCCTATCTTCACTAAATTATCTTAGTGCAAGCTTCATGAATTGCATCAATACAAAACCTGCCACTTTTGCTTCCCAAGGACATTTTCTTGCTGCATTTGATTCTTGACCAAGAACTTCATTGGGATGACGCAACAACTATTATGCTTCGATCCTTCAGCAGAACTTCATAGATGATCTGATGAAAATTCCCACCTTTCTTGCTTTTCATAATATAGTTTCCTGCTCAATTGTAAGGTTTCGAAACTCTTGCAGCTTAGAGAAGAACTGGTTTATTGATTCCACTTCCCCTCTTGGAAACTTCTCCTGAATCTTATGCCTCGAGATAATGTCATTTTTGCATTCTGCCTTTGAATGTCGCAAATAATACATAGTTCTTTTAGTCGTACCTCCATCCAATAGTCAAGTCATAATTTTGTTCGCTCATCATTTTTCATCTTAAGCTTTACAAAAATGTTAGTATTCATTTCCAAGGCACATGATACTTATCCCACTTCTGATGAGGATGTCATAGCCTTTCTGCACCATTGACTTGTCCATACTGTGTTTCCTTTGATCAGTTCCTTCCAAACATTTTACTTTTTGTTCAAAACGGGATCTCCTTAGCTACTTGTACATTAGGATTTTCTTCTGAATTCTCAGGATTAACAGCCTCGAACATCCATACTTTACTTGTATCAATCACTATGGACATGCAGACAGCTAATGCATCTATACATGTTTCTTATAGTGATATTCACCAAATATTAGACTTGCTTCTGTTGACGGTAGATCTTTATTAGAGAGCACTCTGAACTTTAATATCTTATACATTTCAGTTTCAAGAAAAAAACCTTCTATATCCATTAAATGATTTAAATTGAAACCATGATTTTGAGTCATACTTCTCTAGCAATATTTTCTTGAGCCGAGGGTCTCGGAAACAACCTCTCTACCCCACTAAGGTAGGGATAAAGTATGCATATGCACCACCCTCCCCAGACCCCACTTGTAAGTGGGACTGTACTGGATATATCGTTGTTGTTGTTGACTAGCAATATTGCACCAACTCCAATAACAACACCACCATCTTCTGTCATCTCCATAAATATAATAGGCAAGTCAAATAAATTTGTTAATCTTGCTGCTCAATTATTTTTGTTAGACAACAATTGAAGCCTTGACGGGACTAGGGAGTAAATCTCAGTTTACTGCTGTTTTTTCTACAGTGTGGTCCATTGTCTCATTGATCTTGTGGTCCATTGTCTCATTGATCTTCTAGAAATCTGTTCTTTATATACTTTCTTCTCCTTGTCCAGCATGTTAGATAATTTTAGTGGGAATGGGGTTCCAGTAGCAGCAATGAAGGTTTATCTAAACATGTTTGCCAATCTGAATGAAGCATATCTGTTTTCCCATTTGAAGCTCAATAACTATAATGTCCATGTAAATTGGCATGCTGTATATTTACAAGTAGCTTTCTTGACAGTTAAATTGTGACTTAATAGGGTTCAATGCATAAGTTGTTCGAAGGCGTGCCATTGCTCTGATATGTGCTCAAACAGACCATTTCGGAGAGATAGAAAGATACAAGTTGTCAAGGTGTGACACTTTGGTACTCAAGTTTCCTTGAATCCAGCTTATGGTTTTGATTATCATATTTATTATAAGTGGTGGAATGTCTTCATGCATTGCTTTGGTTGATTCTTTTCTGTGTTGCTTTACAGACTGAACTTTGTGGTTGGGGGGTAGTAGCATCTGAATCCATAAACAAAGGTGATTTCATAATTGAGTACATCGGCGAAGGTGATTCTCTTACAAGTGAAGCTGTCAACTCTCAAATAATTTTCTGAGCTGTTCATGTTTCTACATCTCTATTACACATAACTGTATTTTTGTGCTGATAACATCTTTCAAGTATTTACACTCAACACTTACCTATATAATGTTATGCGCTGCATCAAACAACAAACTTGCCTTAATTTAAGGCAAGTTTGAGGCGACTATATGAATTCTAGCTGCAAGACATTGCCAAAGTACCTCAAGCAGCCTCTTTATCCTTAACATGTGGTAGTTGAACTTTCTATCAATTGTGGTCTTTTTCAACCATTTAATTTTGTATGACCACAGGTCCATCTTAGCATCCGCATCCTGAGACACTTATCTTGTAGATACGTTGAATTTTAGTGGCCCAATAGTCACTTCCATGTATCATAGTAGGACATATAACTGTTCTATAGAGCTTTCCTTTCACTTTGGTAGGTATCCTTCTCATTACATAATGCTCTGATAACATTTTTCTAATTCAACCATCATATTTTGGTCATTTCTAATATCTTTATCTAGATCAACGTTCTCCTGGAGTGTCAAAGCCTAGATATCTGAATTGTTAGTTTTAGGTACTGCAATCATGTCTAGTCTCACCTCAGCTTCAATCTCCTTATGTTGACTAAGTTTGAATTGCAGATATCCAGTTTTACTTACTTATCGTGAACCTTAACTTTCTATACTGCTTTTCCACAATTCAACATTTTTTATTGATGCCTTTGCCGGGTTCATCAATTAGCACGATTTTGTCACCATATAGCATATCATCCATTACTAGGATAAACAAGTACGAGTTCAGTACCTGGTGTAAACCCACAGTTATGAGAAACTCTTTGTATCATGTAAATCTTTTTCCTGAATCCCAAAAACCTATTTGACATTTTGAAATCCATTTATTCTCTTGCTATGTCATCCATTATTCCTTGTACTGCTCAGCAGGCTTATCTGCTTGAAATGTGCAATGTGAAGCAGAAGACTTTCTGCTAGTTAATTTGGATGCAGAATTTTTTTTTTTGATGACAGTGGTGTCTGGACCAGCTTTCGCGCTCCTCGACTAATTCTACAGGATACCTGCCACCTCCCACCAGCAACATGTCTTTTGAATCTAAATGGCCTTTAGTGGCCCATTTGCTGTGCAATCTTTATGTATATTATCAAATGTCAATGTCGAGACATTTTGTTTTTGTGTTAGCAGGCATTTTAAGGCTTCTAATTTGGTTATCTTTTCGTGTTTCAGTTATTGATGATGCCTTGTGTGAAAAAAGGCTATGGGACATGAAATACAAGGGAGTTCAAAATTTCTACATGTGTGAACTACGGAAAGATTTCACAATTGATGCAACTTTCAAGGGAAACTTGTCCCGTTTTCTCAATCATAGCTGTGATCCTAATTGCAAATTGGAAAAATGGTTAGTTAACTTCTTCAAATAGCATTTCCTTGTTTCAGATTGTTTGGACTGTTCTTTAAGATCAGATATTAGTGATTTTTGCTTCGATGTGTTTTAACATATTCCTGTGACATCTTTCCCGGATCAGACTAGAGCTGTTCCATAACACTGGTCTAAGCCTAGTTCACATCAACTTGAATATTAAAAGGATATATTCAAACACTTACATCTCAGACTTGACTTTTTTTGAAGTTACATGACCATAGTCCTAACCCACATTGAAGAATAGTACATAGATTTCATTTATGATGTCAAAGTAACATACATTTATACACTCTTCTTATTTTTGTTCAATTTTGAGGTATTATTCCTTTTTATTTGAATGTTACAACAACAACATGCCCAATGTAGTCCCACACAATGGGGTCTGGGAGGGTAGCGTGTACGCAAATCTTACCTCTACCTCAGAGGTGAGGTAGAGAGGTTGTTTCCGATAGATCCCTGTCTCAAGACATAAACAGTCTAGGAAAAGACATAATGAAAGTACAATAGACAATAGATAGTATCAAAAACAACAAGCAGTAACAGAATAGTACTACAACAAAATAATACTACAAACAAACTACACGCAATAATAGATAGTCACAGAAATCAAAAAACAAGAAACTACTAGAGTAGTCCTATGACTACTAGTAAGGGCAACAAGACAAATCACTCCTATCTAGTACTCCCTCTGTCCCAATTTATATGACTTATTTTCCTTTATAGTCAGTCCCAAAAAAATGACACATTTCTATATTAAGTTGCAATTTAACTTTAAAATGTTCATTTTACCCTTAATGAAATGATTTATAACCACACAAATTTCTATCATTCATTTTAGACCGCAAGTTTTAAAAGTCTTCTTTTCTTTCTTAAACTCCGTGCTGAGTCAAACTATTAAAAGTCTTCTTTTCTTACTTAAACTCCGTGCTAAGTCAAACTAGCTTACATAAAATGGGACGGAGGGAGGAGTATGGATGCATTCTTACCACTAACCTTCTACCTTAATTTGTATCCTCCACCCTAATTTGAATGCTAGAGGAAATTATATAAATGTTGTTTATTCTACCCTGTCACACCGACTTCCTACTAGAAGAAGAGTTGATATTAGACGAGATACCAGAAATAACAGTCAGTCAAATCCCAGGACACATAAAATCATGAATATGGCACAACTTCAGCTGACTGATCATTATTCATGACCTTAGATAGGAAGGTATGAAGGTCGATGATTAGGGTAGAAAGTTAGTAGGTAGCTGAGTGTTGCATTTTGTGTGGGAGAGGGAGTGGGCTAGCCTCCCCCTCTCTTATCATTTAGTATTATCATTAGTTATTGCATAGTTTCTTATTCTTCGATGTGTATTGCTAGTTGCTGCATTTGTTTTGTATCTTTGCTACTTTGTTGTCTCTTTTCTTACAATCCTGTTGGATACTTCCCTTTTGAGCGGAGTGTCTTTCGAAAAGAGCCTCTCTACATTACAAAGGTAAGGTCTGCGTACATCCTACCCTCCCCAGACCCCACTTGTGGGACTACACTGGGTATGTTACTGTTGTATTGTATATTCTATGGGCACCGAAGCTCTGTTGGTTAGTTGAAATTGTTGATAAGCTTAACTTTTGAGTTGCCCTCATTCGTTATTGCTCAATTCTATCAAGTCTTCTCGCAGTATCTAACATCCATTATTGTTTAGGAATTGATTAACGAACAGATATACCTGTAGAATGCCATGGCTTTTATTTTTCCTGTATAGTTAGTTCCCTACGTATTCATTTCTTCTCTCCTTTTTCTGATAATCACATATTTGTCATATTTCTTAGTTGCAAGTGTTGAAGTCCAATATATTTGGTTCTTCCTTTATGCTCATTGTGTGCCTTGATCAATGCTGTAATGGTTTACTTTTATTACCTATTAAAGGCAGGTTGAAGGTGAGACTCGAATTGGTGTCTTTGCTGCTCGATTCATTGAAGTAGGAGAACCTCTGACCTATGATTACAGGTATGCTCCTTTGTGTTGCTACCTCAATAACTGCTTATTATGCGGTAAAGCTGTTTGGGTTCTTGTGTTCTTTTCTATTTAACCTTTGGTTATAACTTCAAGGTATGTCAGTAGTATGTCTGTTAAGTTTTTAACCTTTTGTGGTTGGTTATACATTATAACTGATATAATATAAGATTGATTGGTATGAGACAAGAAGAAGCCTCCTTCTCATCTGACTTTGGTGTCTAGGAAAGAAGACAAAATTACGTTCTATTACATCTTTGAGTATTTGGCCATATTGTTTTCAGTGATATGTGGAATGTTTGTATGATTTCATAGGGGATGCTTCCAGTAATGTTATTTTGTTTGATGTACCTTTTTGTTTCCACCAAAGATGTGGTAATAGCTGCTTGTGGTCCTCAAAAATAGTACATCAGGCAGAAGATATCGTGTTAAGAACATAAAATTTTAAAATCTCCATTACTAAAAATAGTTTATTCCCTATATAAGATGTATAAACCAAATGGTGAAGTGATATTTAAATCATTTAAGAAAGTCACAGTGGTTAAATGGGCTCTTGGGGAACTTCATGTAGGAGGCTGTTAACTTCAAATCTGCCCACAAAATATAATTTCAGATATGCTGTTTGCGATGATTTTGATTCTAAGCCTGATAGAGGTCTTTGACTAATAATGCACTCTGGAGTGGAAATACAACAATTTTTTTGACAACCAAAGCTAAAGAGAGCAATGGGGATAGATCCCTTGAACTCTGGGGGTAAAAGGCTCACAGAGACTGCTGCACCAGACAGTCCACTTAATGGAATCCAATAATAACCAATAGGATAGAAAGATATGGCAGAATAAAGAAATCACTTTGATGTAAATGGAAAGATTGAAGTTCTTGATGAGAAAACTCGACGCTAGTTGTTATCGTAGCCATGGAAAGCATCATAGTTTCTAATAGCTGTTGAATTTCCATACGAGGAATAGTCTACAAAATATATATACCGAGCTTTCACATGCATTCTTTTTGTAAAGTGTTGCTTTGACATGGACAAGAATAAGGAGAAGTCTTTGAAGCTTAATGCACTAAACAATGGAAGGCTCTAAAGCTTAAAATTTTACAGTTCAGTCTCAGGCACCAATTGATATACAGCCAGAGCTCCCTACAGCAACATTTACTATAATAACCAAGTTTTCTTTGGAACCGATTTTCATTTTATGTTATTTTATGAGTTCTTTATTCCAACATTTTGCTTTAGTAGCTAAAAAGTATCCGGACAAACGTCTCTGTTGTAGAGAGATTTGACTATACGTGTCTTCTGATAATTGAAGCATTAGACTTTATGTCATATGCAACAACTGCAACTACCACGTCTAGTTTCCAAACAAATTGAGATCGGCTATATGAATCCTTGCTAATCACGTTTCTTAGTTTTAAATTCATCTTAGGCCAAAATAGCTTAGTACTATGACCTTCAGTTTTGCTTGCTGAATCTGCTTTGCTTTTGTATGCAGATTTGTTCTGTTTGGTTCAGAAGTGAAGTGCCATTGTGGAGCTTCGAATTGTCAAGGATATCTTGGCAGTAAAAAGAAAATCACAAGTAAACTGGACATCAGCTGGGGTTCGAAACGCAAGAGAACATCTACTTCTTGCCTCACCATCATTAAATCGAATTCATGTTAGACTATTATTATTTTATTCGATCATTTTAGTATTATCGCGTTTTCTACAAAAAAAATAATACAATAAACCAAAAAGAAAACCATTGCCAAAAGGAGAGGGAAAAAAGGAACAGAAAGATTGTTGTTACAAGCATTGTTGTTTCACTTTTATTCTGAAAAATATGACAGAATCCTTACATTATAAAGATTAAGTTCTTTTCATTTTATTGCTTCTTTCAATTCTAGTTGGATATGCATGATTTGTTCAGTGCCTTCTTTTTCTTTCGAGACGAGTGTTTTTCGAAAACAATCTTTCTACCTTCACGATGTAAGGATAAAACTACTATCTATCCTCTCCAAATCCCCCACTTGTTGGGTGTAATACACTTGGTATGCTGTTGTTGAGTATAATGTTGAGCTTCTATTTCTTCTTAAACAGTTGTATTTAATGAATTTCTCGGTATAATTATAGGGTATGTATAAAAGTCATTGGGTTTTCAGAGACTTCCATCCTATCCCTTAATAACATTTAGGGAGAAAAAACGACAACAACAAATAATATGATAATTGTTGTTTTAGAGCCTAAGATATTATTATGAAAATAAAACTCGAAAGCATTTTTAACATGTCATCAAATGTGTGTATTATTTGAATAATAATAACTTCATCACAATCAAATAAATGTTTAATCTTAAATTACTCAATTACTACATTCAATAATTTGGAAGGTACACTTAATCAACTAAACATAGTAAAAATAGTTAGCATTATTCTATATAAAGGAATTTTTTTTGTAAATTCATTGTATCAGACAATTTAAAAAATATTAAGGGGGGAATATATGATCTGTACATGACTCACTTAAAAAGCAAAAAATGGAAATATTCTTGTATAAAGTTCCCTTATATGCATAGCTGACGAAAGATGATATGTATCAAATATAATTAATCGAAGATCACGTAAATTGAATTAGAGAAAAATAACGTATATATGTTGTAATTAGTTGAGCTATATCGACATCACAATTATTATGCAAATTTATTTGTATATCTCATTTCACACAGAAATTTGAGTCCACCACACACACACACAATGCCGATAGATACTTCCGCTAAGATCTTCGTCGCCGGTCACCGTGGACTCGTCGGATCCGCCGTGGTTCGGAAACTTTACCAATTAGGCTGCACAAATCTCCTCCTCCGTACACATTCCGATCTCGATCTCACTAACCAATCCGCCGTCGAATCCTTCTTCGCCGACGAGAAACCTCAATACGTCATCCTCGCCGCCGCGAAGGTCGGCGGCATACACGCAAACAATACTTACCCAGCTGATTTCATCACTATAAATCTTCAAATCCAAACAAACGTCATCGTTTCATCCTTCAATCACAAAGTTCAGAAGCTTCTGTTCCTTGGTTCTTCATGTATTTACCCTAAATTTGCTCCTCAACCAATTCCCGAAAATGCACTTTTAACTGCCCCTTTGGAACCTACAAATGAATGGTATGCAATTGCGAAAATTGCTGGTATTAAAATGTGTCAAGCTTATAGATTGCAGCATAACTTTGATGCAATTTCAGCAATGCCCACGAATTTATATGGTACGAATGACAATTTCCATCCTGAGAATTCTCATGTTTTGCCTGCTTTGTTACGTAGATTTCATGAAGCAAAAGTTAACAATCTTGATAAAGTTGTTGTGTGGGGAACTGGTTCTCCTTTAAGGGAATTTTTACATGTCGATGATTTAGCCGATGCAGTAGTGTTTTTGTTGGAGAATTATAGTGATTTAGAACATGTTAATGTGGGGAGTGGAAAGGAAGTGAGTATAAAGGAGCTAGCTGAATTGGTGAAGGAAGTTGTGGGGTTTAAAGGAGAGTTGGTTTGGGATTCGACTAAGCCGGATGGGACACCAAGGAAGCTTATGGATACTTCAAAGCTTGTTGGATTAGGTTGGACGCCAAAGATTTCGCTCCGGGATGGTCTTGTTGATACCTACAAATGGTACTTGGAGAATTATGGCAAGCAATAGTTCAGGTGATTATTGAATGTTTACAAGATATGAGATTGTTATTTTTGTTTGTCAGATTGTTGAAAGATTATAATAAGCTTAATTGAAGTATTGGTTCTCTGTTGTACTGATTATGTACTATGTTTATGTTAATTATTTTTGCCACAGATCCAATTTATATTCGATCTGCCATTCTCAAGAATTCATGTTCAATATTAAGCTTAATTGAATTATTGATTCTCTGTTGTACTGATTTTGTACTATGTTTATGTTAATTATGTTTGCCACAGATCCAATTTATATTCGATCTGCCATTCTCAAGAATTCATGTTCAATATTAAGCTTAATTGAATTATTGATTCTCTGTTGTACTGATTTTGTACTATGTTTATGTTAATTATGTTTGCCACAGATCCAATTTATATTCGATCTGCCATTCTCAAGAATTCATGTTCAATATTGCAAGAGTTCATTGTGAAATATTTAAAAACACGGATCAGTTTGTATTGAGCTTTGTTGTCCGAACACGACCTTACTTTCTGGTTGGTGATAAACTAGTTGACAATGGTAAATAAGGTTCAAAGGGAGGACCTTTTTTCATCTTGGTAAAATGGAGTAGCTATTTAACAAAATAGGAGTTTTCTTTTTTTTTGAGGATAGTAACAAAATAGGAGTTTCTTTTGACCATTTATAAGGAACCCATCTCAATATAGAAATATTAGCTTTTTCCTTGTCCCTAAATATAATGTTTTGAATCTTCAAATGGGAATTTCATTCATTTAGAAAGAGCTTATGGTACTCCTTTTATGTTTTTCTTTATTTATATAATCGTGGTGTCTGGGCCATCACAACACCTTGACTAATTCCACATGGTACTTGCTACCTCCCACTTACCACATACTCCCTTCTGTTAGTCTTTGTAAGTCCTGGAATTCAACATGTTATGTGCACTCATGTGTATTACAGTGAGAAAAAAAATATCCGCTTCCATATAATTTGTCACTTTTGTGCTGAAAGAAAATGATATGGAGGAACCATAAAAAATTCTTTGACATTGACACATGAAGCTTCCAGTAGTTTAGCTCTTGGGAATGTGGGGTTGCAAGCAATACCTGTAAATGGAGTGAGGGGTTTCTATTTGAGTCTAAAATCACAGCTGATGTCATAACTTTAATTTCTATTCTGATAGCCATGTTTTCCTTATGTGATAATGTCGTAGCGTAACTCCAGGAATTTTGGAAGCTGAACATGCTCCAAAGATGACTAACGCTTTCAGCTTTGATTATTCGATGCTGAATGACACAGTTCCTCGCTAAATAAAAATGAAGCTTCAATACAACCAAGAAAAGAGATAGATCACTTTGGCCAAATGCCAATCCTCCTAGTTGAAAGAGAAAAACAGTAGAGACATGCGCAAAACAAAAAATCACTCCTAATTACCAGTTAAGTGAAAGGAGCCCACTTACCCAGTCCGCTTTCCCCCCATTGCTAGGAGCTTCGCCCTCTTGACTTGATATGTCAAGAAAACTACAACTGCTAGTGGATCACCTCTTGCTTAAGAAGGCCGCCATATCATATATATGATAAAAGAGAGACTGTTTTTAGCTTCTTTTTTTGCCTTTTCTGGGGGGTCTAATTTGAGATGTATAACGTACCGATCTTTCCTATGAGATAACTGAGAGCTACACTAATAACAGTAGAAACTTTACTTTTGTAGCCTGTTCACCCGGAACTTAAAAATTTACTACAACCTAAATGTTATGTTAGATACTTACTAAAGAATCACCATCATAAAATGCTATAGTTTCTTAATGCTTTTTGTTCATCAATAATATCTGACCTTCCTCAAAAGAAAAGAAGAAGAATAAGGTTTATAGAAAAAAAAAACTATTATCATAAGAAGTTTAGTAGTTGTGCTGGGAGGTATACTGTGCTTAGGTTAAATCAGAACAGACGATTGCATGCAACTTCCAGCATATTGATTGCCGGGCCTAGACTTGTTATGTTTGGTTCTGCTCTGCCAAAGCCCAAAGGTTCCTACTAGCCGGTCTGCAGGGAGCTTATATGCTGTTGTGTATATGCTGCAGTCTTAACTCCGCAATCATTTTCTGAAATTTGTACGTTAACGCTTGTTTTGGCTCTTAATGTTACTTGAGGACATGAAACATAACCTTTTCTGCAGAAAGATCATAATTATGAATAGGACACCTGATTCATTTATGAACATCTTTATATATCTGTTCAGTTCTTTCAAATGGACGTATTCCAAGTATATCTGCTGGTCCCACAAGGTTTCTTGAACAAGAGTAGGCTATACTTCTAAGGAACACCAACTTCTGTGGTGTTCGCTTCAACTAAAATTGTCCTCTCCAATGTCTGTAGACTTGCTGTTTTTTAGGGCAATATCAATATGAAGAAGGCTGGGATGTAACAATTTCAATTTGTGATAGATAAATATCCAAATTATTCATTTTACGTCTAGATACTTTCTTATAATATATAAACCCAAAACACGAGAAGCCTATGGATATTGATAAAATGGGAGAAAATGCGGAATTCAATTTGTCATGTGTACACATGTGCATTATAGGGAGAAAATAGCCTCTCTGAATCATTATATGTCACTGTTGTGCAGACAGAAAACGAAAAAGGAAACCACGAAAAATTCTTTGACATGACACAGGAAGCTTCCAGAAATATGGCTTGGATGTGGGGTACAAGCAATGCTTCTTGATTCATCATTTTAGTTCCTGCCTGATAACATTTCTTTCCTATGAATTAACTTGCTGATACTTGCTCAAAACTTTGTCGCTGATCACTTGTAACTTAACAGTAACTCTAATTTTAATGACATGTTATAATTATGTTAATTTGAATAGACAATTGCATGCCATTTTCAGTAGATTATATGCTGGGCGAGGACATTTTATTATTTGGTAGAGTTCTGCCTGGTTGGTAGTCTTCCTTGAGCCGAGGGTCTATCTGAAACAACCTCTCTACCTCCCAAGGTAAGGGGTAAGATCTGCGTACACACTACTAGTGGTATTGCACTGGCCACTGGATATGTTGTTGTTCTGCCTAATTGGTGGTCCTGCTAGTGTGAGTGAGCTTATATGCTGTTTCTGAATCTTAATGTGACTAAGAAGGAAAAAATGAAGTATTGCACTATAATTGGACCATCACCCTCACCCCCACGCCCACCGTGGGGTTCAGTTCAATTGGCAAAGATTGAGGGACCTGTGTCTTAGGTTACAAGTCGAGCCCCATGCCAGGTGAACTAACTCCACTATTTAAGTGGAGAAGAGTAGAGGGACGGCCCCATCATGCTTGAGGTTTGAAAGTTGCGGCCTTGCGGTTAGCTCAAACAGGTCCTAAAGGTGGACTCTAGATGGATTTCTCGGTATAACTAAAGAAAAAGATGGTGAACTGTGATTCTTTTTCCACCCTAGCTCCCCTCCCCCATCTTGATGGGGCGAGACTATAGAATTGAACCATTGAAGCCTGTTGAGTTCATATGGTTATTGGAATATTGATTGAATAGGCCACTAAAAACTGGTATTTCTGGTTTGTCCTGTTCATTTCACTTTCACCATACACACAAGAAGCTGCCAAAGGATGAGTATCGATCGAGCATGGTTTTCTTTGAAATTGATTTCCTTGAGATTTCATGTTTATGACTTGGTGGCTAGTAAACTTCCTTATTTCCATTTTATCTTGCTGTTTCCAGTATTGAATGTGACGATGCTCGTGTGCTTAAATCTTTGTGCTTCATATCTTTGCTATAGACAAGATTGTTGAAAGCAGAATTTGTTAAAGTATGTACGATTTTCAGTTATAACTTATAACTTAGTTTGAAAGCAAATTCATGACTTGTTTAAGGCAAGTGCAACTTTGATTTGCTACCCTTGAGCCGAGGTCTTTTAGAAACAACTTATCTACCTCGATGAGGTAGGGGTAAGTTTGTGTACACTCTACCTTCCCCCTCTCCCCATACCCCACTTGTAGGATGTCACTTGGTATGCTGTTGCTGTTTAAGGCAAGTCCAAGTGTGCAAATAGCATAGCATAAATGCTGCGGATTTATTAACTATGATGGTATGACTTTTGTTCGTATTTTCAAGGTTATATTGAAGTTGCTAAATGCCAAAGGAGAGGTAGAACTATAAAATGCGGTTTACCTCTCTTGAGTGGTTTGCTGACTATTAGACTAGGGCAGGATTTATCCGATGCACACCCAAAGGATATCCATTTACAATAGATATTTGGTTAGTCTAAAATAAGAACAATCTACAAAAATTGATAAATGAAGATGTAACACAAGTATAAGTAGAAACATAGGATGGTTGGGTTGAGAACCATGAAGTCTTAGATTTAAGTACCTGCGGAGGAAAGATAATACTACTCGAGGCTTTGACAGATAGAATTATCCAGTACTTGTGTTGGTCAGAATAAGTACTAGAAAAATTATTATGTGATGGATGTTATCTAAAACTACTTTATTTTTGCATTTTTCTCTATGAAGAGAACCAAGTAAATAAATAAAATGAAAATCATAAACTACAAAATAAATAGGAAATCTCTCTTTACCATCTCTTTAAGCTTGTACTTCTTTTCTTTATTTTGCTGTTTTTTGTGTTTTCTTTTTATTTTTGAGATTAATTTTGTGTTTTCTTTTTATATAATAAAAAAATTGGCAATATGACAGAATGAGTACAAATTAATTCTGTTGAATGAGTACAAAGGCAAATTTCATTAGATATCTGCAACAATATTCTTTTGGTTTCCTAATATATTTATTTATTTATTTATTTTTGAGAAAGATTTTTTTTTAATTCTGCAAAATGAGTACTAAATAAATTTTGATGGAAGAACTCAAAACAGAAACTTCAATATTATTAATTCTTGAAATTGGAGTAGTTGTTGAGTTACTGAAAATTCGGAGATATATTTGTCTTTTTTCCCAACTTTTAATATCACCGAAGACATTATTTTCTTTAATACCTAAAATGATCTTACGAATCTAAAAATCTCAAAATAGAACATATTTTTTTCTGAAACAACTTCTCTATCTCTTTGAAGTAGGGATAAGGTTTATGTACACCTACTTATTTTAGACCCTATCTGATGGATTATATAATATAACAGTCCTTACTTTGTATTATATTAGTCAAGTGCTAGTGTTC